TATGATAGTTTAGAGAACTTAAACTCCATTCATGGTGGAGGGATACATGCAGGGCGCTGTGAGGCAAAATAGTCCCCAAAGAAAACTTATTATTTCAGATTTTTCACTATTTTCATCATCAACATTCCATATAAACTCAGAAGACTCGTGTAGGTTCACTGGTGGTTCTGGACAGTAAATAAAATGTCTATATCTGTGTTGTAGTCATGGCGACCCCTGGTTCCTATCACCACCACTGTAAAGACATCTGAACCATTTCACACCAAACCGCTCTGAATCACTCTGATTACATCTCGGTTATAGTGGGATTTTGAAGCATCAGGGGAATTCCACCCTAAAAACTCTGGGAATTAGATTTTCCACTGAACTGTCACTAAGGACACTGTGTTATTGTGTTTAAAGGGTCAGTAAAACAGTGATAAAAGAAGGTAATGTGTTTTAAGTGTTGTTCTCTGTCATAAAGTGCTCTGCAGGCTGTTAAGAGGTTTCAGACTGAACGGTTCACTTTTTTATAGATGGCTCACTTTTACTACCAGTGCAGCAGAACAGGAAGTTTAAAAAAAACCTAATGGATTCAGACTGAACACACACACACACACACACACACACACACACACACACACTGTGCTGATGGGAGTGATTGAGTTTGGAGTGTGTGTGATGGATATGATTAGATGAGCTCATCGGGTTGCCAGCCTCTCTTCTGTGGAGAGAGACAGTATTGGGTTGCCAGATGTGTATTTTAACCCTTTTTTGTACTTCATCATCATCACTGTTGTTTATAAAGCACCTTTCCCACGTCAGGCACGCTTTACAATCAGACGACGTGTACAGGTTAAAAAGGAAGTGTACAAATAATAATAAAAACATTACAGTCATCACAAATATGATATCTGTCTAAGACGATGTGATTGATTTTATACACCTGTTAGCAGTGGGTGTGGCTGAAACACCTGAACTCAATAATAAGAAGGGGTGTCCCAATACTTTTGGCCCTACAGTGTATGTCACTGACTGTGAATATGAGTTGTAGTCTAAGCAGGTTCCGGGTAGTTGTTAGGAATGGAAAACAGTGGCTTCCTATTCGCCAGCTTCTTGTTTGAATTTTCTTGTTCCACGTTAAACGATTCTGGCGCCTCAGGCGAAATATGGCTCATGTCTTTTATGTCACTGATCAGCTCTCAGGATCAGCTAACATAGAGAAATATCAGCCAAGTGCATATACACACACACACACACACACACACACACATTATATATATATATATATATATATATATATATATGAAAAATTCTTTCTTAAGATCGTCTCAGAGAAATAAAGCAGATCTCAAATGTTATAATTATGAAGAATCACTGATTTCTGAGCTGTTTCTCCTGAACCTCCTCAGGAGAACAGAGGAAACTAACATCAGCGTCTCACTGTGAGACGTTCTGGTGATGAAGGAGAAAAGCGCGAGTTCTCCTTCTGCACTGACGGACTGCTGAGAGGGTTCTGTGATCTAGAACAGAGCTGTATAAGAGAACGATGAGATCTCACACTGTTCTTATGGAGATATTACTCAGCTGAGACGAGTCAGACACTGAAGAGTTAATCCACATGTGAGACAACATTTTGATCAAAGTGAGAAAATCTGAGTTTTATTTCTCAGGAGACAAATTTCAGAAACAGGAGAAAACGGCTTCAGTGTCAGTCTGATTACAAACTGGACTGAACTGTGTCCAGGAGAAGAACCTGAGATCAAGAGGAGATCTCATTTATCAAATATATTTTTTTTTCCCCGATTAGCTGAAAAGATAATAAAGACATCGACAATAGAAATATAGAAATCATCAGGATTAGAACCTGACGGTTTGCTTTCTAATGGGTAGAGACCACTAGTTTCCTCTAGAACACCTTTAGATCCCATTAGGAAACCAACAAATACATTCAGAATATGCGGTTGGTCGCCTATTAAACCTTTAGAGTTCCTTACACTGTGATATGAACCCATTAAAAGCCTGAGTGCTGTGAGTTTGTGCTGAATCACTGAGTGAGGTGTACACAGGTTTAGGGTCGTTGTGTTCTGTGTTCAGCGGCTGCTGTGCAGTTGTGCTGTTGTTGGAATTAGCGGTAGCTACATGCTAATCTGCCTACAGAGAACAACAGGCTTTGTGTGTGAGAGAGAGAGAGGGAGAGAGAGAGAGGAAGGTAGTGAACAATAGCAGTAGTGTACAACACGTTCCAGCAGTCACACTCACTCACGCACTCACCACAGCGCCTTTCATTTCACTTTAACAGTGATTAAACTGGCAGGGGAATTCCACCAATCTTTCAGAATTTCCATGTAATCCACTAGTTGAGCCCAATCAGTCAATTAATCAAGCTTTATTTCAACTCAGAAGTACACTGAGGGTGACCCTCATTTACAGTGTAGCCAAGCAACAAACAGGGACTGAAAAAGTTCAAATGAAGTTCATCAACGAACATAAACACCACCACGTCAGTGTTACTGCAGTGCTGAGAATGATCCACCACCCAAATAGTACCTGCTCTGTGAGAGTCCATGGGGGTCCTGACCACTGAAGAACAGGGTAAAAGGGGGCTAACAAAGTATCAGAGAAACAGATGGACTACAGTCTGTAACTGTAGAACTACAGAGTGAAACTATACGATCAGTGGAGCTGATAAAATGGACAATGAGTGTAGAAACAAGGAGGTGGTCAGAATGTTATGCCTGACCGGTGTACTTCATTGTTATTTTCTGCCTGTTTCTTTTTGAGCTATTTTTATTTCTTTATGAATCTTCCTGTCTTGCTGATTTGTGTTTATGTTCGTTCATAAACTTCATTTGAACTTTTTCAGTCCCTGTTTGTTGCTTGGCTGCACTGTAAATGAGGGTCACCCTCAGTGCACTTCTGAGTTTAAATAAAGCCTGAATACTCGAAATTCTGTACAAATTCTGTTGAAATGTAATCTAACGGGCGAAGCTGATCATGTTGAGCTGTTGGTACTGAAAGCTCAGTGTGTTTAGTCTGATCTCGTGTTCGGACTCTCAGGTGGGTCTGATCTGCTAATCAGACACTTTTAGTCAAACTTGTGGAGCCCACGCAGCTCGAGTGCTGCCTGTCATTAAAGCAAAACAGGGGGACACCCCACCAAGTATTGAGAAATTCCAAAATTCATGTTAAAATTTCAAAGATTCTCCTTTTCACTCTGATCATTATGCTGTAATGAAAAGCTCTATTAAAGGAGAGAGAAACACAAAGTAGCAGCGTTTTCACTGGTGCTGTCAGACGTTTGGACCTCGCTGTGTGTATAAATATACATAAACACGTCTAACAGTGATCACACCGGTGTCTTCTCTCTCTCCCTCCCTCTGTCTCACTGTCTCTCGCCCTCGCTCCCTTCCCCCAGTCTTAGATTCAACCCAGCGCCCCTTTTGTCCCAATCTCAGCTCTGTCTCTCTCTCTCTCTCTCTCTCTCTGTCTCTCTCTCTCTCTCTCTCTCTCTCTCTCTCTCTCTGTCTCTCTCTCATGCCTGCATTGCTAATTCCTGTCTCTGTATGCTGTGAATGCAGTGAATGCTGCATCACCTCACTCAGCCATTCACTGTTCGGCCTTCTGAGCCAACTGCGCTGCATTGAACTCAACTGAACTGGATCACTTTGTTCACCGCATGTGGTTACAGTGACGCAACACCGTGTGCGTCGTTGTGGACGCTCACACACTAACTGAAGACAAACTTGACCCACAGTGTACACAGACAAGGCATGAGCCATTATGAAAATGTGTAGAAGCAGACGTCCAGCTCCAGACATGCCTTCACTGATCGTTTGGGGAAATGGGTGAATTAGATTTTCCACCACACTGTTTCTTTAAGCTCCTCAGTAGATCCGCTCCCTGTCCTTTAAAGCTGCACTACGTAAGTTGTTTGTTGTTTAAACTGGAGGTTACTGGGTGAGGAGAAAATAAACACACTAAAATATGATGAGTGAGTTGCTGTGAGTCACTCTGTAAATTGTGCAATAATAATTTAAAAGTCAGAGACGTCGAGTTTTTCACACCATGTCGTGCGTCTTTACGCGTTCTTGAAGGATCTTCCTGTCATTTTTGTGAATGTAGAGTATAAATTTCAATGAAAATCTGCTGTTTTGTTTAGTTTTTCTACAGCAAACTGATCTTGGACAGAGAATTTCTAACAAGGCGAACTACCACTCAGCACTGACTTCAGGTTTGGTCAGACACTAGAGGGCGCTCCCGAGTGAGTTCAGCATGAATGGGTTCTTATGGGGCTTTATAATTGTCATGTTGTGCTGCATCTGGTGTGTTTTAAGCGCCTGTTCTATGGAGTGATTCAGAGTTTTCAGCACGCCTGAAACCATCCAGTAATGGTTATCTGACTAGGCTATTCGCAGATTTCACTCAGTTTTTGGCATATTTTGCTCCGTTTTTGGTAAATTTAACTCAGTTTCTTACAGATTTCACAGATTGACAGTATCACTGCACTGTACCTCATAGAAACCCATACAGGATCAGATGTGGCTTGAATGTACACTGTTAGGACTGTTGATCTAAAGTCTTTAAGAGAAACAGACCAATGCTAATCCTCTGACCCCTCAGCTAGCGTTATTAGCCTAGCCACAGCGGTGTGTGTCGTCCAGCCTGCGGTCAGACTCAGCTGAGTGGGAGTGCGGAGCTTCTTTAGGGCTCTGAATTAAATCTGCTCCATTAAATTAAAAACCTCCTCACTGAGGACTCTGCTGTGACCTCTGACCCCAGTCTCTGAGTGATTAATCTGTTTCTGAGCTCACAGTGAGATCATCTGTAGCTCCAACGCAGTCAGACGGCCGACGTTTACGCACGCACTGTTTACATTCAAACTCTGTTTATAGTCAGTACACAAACAAACATGCCTGACAGTCTGTCTCTCTCTCTCTCTCTCTCTCTATATCTCTCTCTCTCTGTATTCTCTCTCTCTCTCTCTCTGTATCTCTCTCTCTGTCTCTCTCTCTCTGCAGGCTGTGCAGTCTGACGCTGAAGAAGTTGGTGGTTCTGAAGGAGTTGGATAAAGAGCTGATCTCGGTCGTCATCGCCGTCAAAATCCAGGCAAGCGCTTCAGATCATTCATACGTTCATCTGCTCATCCGTTCATGTCTCCATGCACTCATCTGTCCTTATATTTATTCATTAATCAATCAATCCAAAGTGCTTATTTTCGCTCTTGCAGGGTCATTTTTCTGTATGCAAATGAAATACTGCTGCTTGGTCTGCAGTAAATGTCAGTGTAACGCTAATATAAATTCATATATGATTATCACTTTACAGCTCTGTAGTTTTATAGTATGATTCTCCTTCCTGTAACAGCTCGTGTCGTATGGTTTTGGTTAGTGATTATATTATAGACTAGTCTGTAAGTTAGTGAGTTATATATTCTATGGTGTGTTTTGTATACTGTGTATTATAATAAGTCTGCGCTGTATGTTCTCTGAGTGAGGGTTCATTCACAGCTTTTATGGAGTCTCTGTGTAATTTACATGAACTGTGTGACCTCAGGGCTCCAAGCGTATCCTGCGCTCTCATGAGATCATGCTGCCCCCTACTGGAGCAGTGGAGACTGACCTGGCCCTCACTTTCTCTCTGCAGGTAAACACACTGAAACAGTAACAATACACTGCATATATCACTCAGACACAGTAACATATGATACACTAAATACATATACATCAATCTGAATTTATCAGAGATTTCGCTGGAATCAACTCGTACAATGTGACGCACTGAACTAAGCGCTCTGTGATAACATACAAGTTATACGTTATACTGATATATACAGATATACATTGATACACACAAATATATACTGACATGTACTGATATGAGGTATATATGATATATACAGATCTATAATGATATGTACTGATACATAAAGATATACATATATGTATATATACTACAGATTTGATAAATACACACTGATACATATTGATATGTACTGATATACACAGATATATACTTATATATACACTGATGCATACTGACACATACTGATATATACTGATATATACTTATATATATACTGATACATACTGATCTATACTAAAATAGATTAATGAAAACGTACTGCTCCATACTGATATATACTAATACACTGGTACCTGTTGGTAATGCTGGTGTGCGGTTCTGTGTGCAGTATCCTCACTTCCTGAAGCGAGAGGGGAATAAGCTGCAGATTCTGCTCCAGAGGAGGAAGCGCTACAAGAACAGAACCATTCTGGGCTATAAAACTCTCGCCGCTGGATCTGTGGACATGGCTGAGGTTCTACATCACACCTGAAACTGTCTGCTGAGGTTCTAGCAGCGTACTGTTTCTGTCAGAACAAAACCTCGATATCTCCAAAAAGGAACGTTTGATACACTGTAAACAACAGGCAATTTAAAATAACGTTAAAAAAGACAAAAGTAGAGATACAGGTTTTGTTCTCACAGCGACAGCATAAATAAAACAAATGCCACATTTTATTATTATTATTATTACAAAAGTTTGTACACCCCTGGTAAATGTCCATGTATGTGTTTGTTTTCTGAGTGTAAGCAAGTCACACACCCTCAACATAAAATGTGGTGTGTACATTCATAGAAATTGTGTTCGAAAATTTGCAGAAAAATGTCCTCTGTGTGTCTGTAGAGGAGTGTAAACTTACTCTCGCTTAGAAAATCAACAACAACATGGAATTAGACCAACTTTTGTACATAACTGTATGTAATACATATGGGGCATATTATTAGATATGACACTGGCCCTGTATAAAACCCTGTGTGTGTGTGTGTGTGTGTGTGTATGTGTGTGTGTGTGTAGGTGATGCAGCACCCTGCTGAGGGGGGTCAGGTTCTCTCTCTCTGCAGCCATCAGAAGGATCTCCAGGGTAAAGTGGCTGAGATCTGGATTTACTCTCTGTCCAGTCAGCCTATCGACCACGAGGAGGCAGCACTGCTGGGACAGAAGATCAAATGCTCCGGTAACACACACACACTCACACACACACACACACACACACACACACACACACACACACACACACTCACACACACACACACACACACACTGACATTTCCTGTCAAAACTGTTTTTAAGTACAAGTTATACATTTTTTAGCTTCAGGAAAAAAAAACAGAAAAACGATATATAACAGAAAATAAACAGCTAAATCTGCTCTCAGCTGTTCAGTGTTCAGTGAGTCCCTCTTCACCTTTATTCCAGCTTCCATTCTGTTCAGGAGACTCACTTTCAGCTCCTCAGAGAATCTGCAGACACACCTCCAAAGTTCAGTCTTAGAAGCTGGTTGATCATTTTCTGAAGTAATCAAACACATTCAGTGGTGTTGAGGTCTGGACTCTGGGGTGGTCAGTCCATCGTTCAGCTTCTTTGTTTGATGTGTCCGTCTCCTTTTCTC